AATAAATAAATATATATATAAATATAGATTCGTTAGATCCAAGAATATATGGCAAATACCCGATATATTTTTATTATAATATAATTCATATCTTTTCGATCTATGAAGAAATTTCATTAATTAATTCTAGCAAAATTAATATTATTATATATAAAATATGTATTTTTTTATAGGGCAGATAAATAAATAATAAAAAGAATAATATTTTTAAATATCTCCTCTAAAAAAGAACCGCTAAAATTGTTCAAGATCAAGATTCCATAAATAAAATACCTCCATCTAAATCGGAGCGGGTAATATATGAAAAAAATATATATTTATATCTATTTCGAATATTTAAATATAGATGTCTCGAATTATTATCTTCGAAAATTTAGGAAAAGTCAACAAACTAATTCAAAATAATATAAAAATATTCCATATCCATCAATTCCAGTATTCAAATATTTTTATTCATCTCAATAAATCTTCCAGAAATGAATATATCTAAGCCAGACTCATTTCAATAACAAATGCCAAGAATAATCAAATAAAAAATTGCCGTAAAGATATCAATCATAACGATTAAATATATTCTAACCACTCTCCAAATTACTCTTCCACCCCACACTTTTGCACAAATAATCCCTCCGAAACGTAATCGAAAACACGGTTCCTACAAATTGTAGCCTCACCAATATACGTCCTGACACTCCTGTATCTTCAGATAACAAACATAGTCGATATATGCAATCCAATTTCGATAGCTTCAACATATGATGCTTGAATTATACAAACCCTCACGTTTGTCTCGGTATCTGTGGTATGAGTGTCACAGCAAATTATCGCCAATTTTCGAGATCTTCACTCTCGACCTGTCTAATCCGCGCCTTGCAGGGATTCCGAACTGTTTAACAGTTCCAAACCCAAGCAAGACCCAGACATACCTAGATCCTACTGTACTACCTGCTCGAGCCTTCGATTGCCGTCGACTTAGTTCACGAAAGCGGGCTGGCTGCCAGCGGTCCGCTCGGCCACTGAAGGCGCATACGGGGCTATGGCCCTGCAGGTTCCCTGCAGGGAACCTGCAGGGCTCTAACTTCGATCGCGATCTTCTGGTCGGCCTCGAGAGTCCATGAGGCGCTGCGTCTCAGTCCTTCTGCGGCAACTAGCCCGGATGTCCGGCACCTTGTGCGAACTGCGACTGAAATGTAAAATCCAAGAGAGAGAGAGAGAGAGAGAGAGAGAGAGAGAGAGATGAAACCGTGGCTTGCGCGTTGCAACGCTGACACTCTGACGCTTTGGGCTCCCCTGCGTGCATTGGCTCGACACTGGAGTTTGTTGACCGCCCACCAAAGGTCGCCGTGAAGGTCCGACACCTGGCAATACGAGAAGAGGCCAGACCCTGCAGAAGGTCCAGGGAATCGGGGATTGAAGCGGCCTCCAGGCATTTCTACCATAAATAACGGGGCAAATGAGCCCCGCAAGAATCTTCGACCCCTGATGCTGACCTCGCTCTCGAGCTTCACGACACGCTCCGTGAGTCCGGGTCCCTGCCTGTGCAACTGTCTCTTTCTGATTCCTTGCAGTGTGAACAGCTCTGCTCTCATAGTTCCAACAAGAAGAGTTCACTGCACAACCGTGGCATCCAGCCGGATCGTGTTCATCCGCAGCAGACCCGCAGCCCCTCGCCTCTCATCCAGTGTGAAGCGAGAGCCACGAGGTCCTCCGACAAAGCTCTCATGCGCAACACAACTTTCTGCAACTTTCCCCGAGTACGTCATCCTGTGATGCCGATCGTATTACTGATGTCGTGCTGGACTGAGCACACACATGCGCAGGACGAACAAACAAACAAACACACACACACACACAAACCCACACCAAATGCTTGTGAGAGAGGGGCGACGTCGGCATCGGTTCTCCGAACTCTGAACACAAACCACAATGAGCACCACGCTCTGAACCGATATGCTTCCTCTTATCCATGCTGGCAAGACCCATCTTCATGGCAAACACAGGACAGCCATAATTGAACGCCCAGCGAGATTGGCCTCGACCTTTCACGCTCTCCTCTGGTGCCTGACATACGCTCATGCCTTCAAAAAGTTCTGCACGCTGCTCTTGGATGTGTTGAATTGTTCCAAGCTTGGCTCATGAGAATGCTTGACCCTGCGAAGCCATCACAAAGGCTTGCAAGCTGTGAACACAAGTCGTCTCAGGAGACACGCGTGCCTTCACAGATTCCATCACCGCATTGGTGTTGGAGAGAATCTCATTGCCTTGTTCGGCTGAGAACAAACGGGACTTACCGCATACTGTCTCATGCTGCTTCGCCATGCACACCAAGACTGTAGATGAATCCCTTACCCTGGCAAGCTTCCAAGAATGCCACAAGAAGGGCCGCTGAACGTAGTCTCGAGAAGGCATGAAGCCCGAGGAACACTGCTTCATCAGCCGACCCATCTCCACGCTGTTTCGCGAATCACCGGCGACCTTGTCACGGCAGCATTCTGTTGGCTTGCTGACTGCCGACACTGTCTTCAGCAACCAGGCTACATCAATCGCTGGCAGCGGAATCTCAGATGATTGGCAGTACAGTATCAAGCCAACGGCTGCTTCTTCGAGATGATGTACCGAAGTAGAAATGACAACCGGCTGGCGCCGGATGAAGCACGACGATTAAGATTTTGCAACGTGCCGATGCCAAAAAAACAACGCATTGATGAACTATACAGAAAACATAGCGGACAGCTGACTGTATCAAAACTCAGCATGTGCAGATAGATTAAACTGATACCATAAGAAGAAACTCCTTTCTGTAGTATGCCATGCACCATCGGGGCCTTCAGGACTCCTTCGCAGAACTCGTTGGTGTCGATGGCACCACCACCATCATAGTCCTCTAACGAAGGTGACTGGCTTTCCGGAGTGTTCTACACGACGCATCCTTGGGTTCAAGCAGGCCAAACCTACATATGCTTCGGCAAACACTGTGCCGATTGTCGCACAACTTCATGCCTTCACACACTTATCTGCTGTCTGTCTTTGATCTGACTCAGACACTTCGTCGCAATTGATCGCGGAGTTCCGCAGGAGCCCCCCCTCCCAGAGGTCTCCAACAGATTGAAGAGCTCTTCCACATCGTCGATACCACTGAGCTCTTTCAAGTCTCCCAGCAGCTCCTGCAGCTGACACCGGATTGGAGAAAGAGACGCATCTCCCAGCCAAAATGTCTTCTTCCTGCGTGCAATCCAACAAATTGATGTTTGTCCCAGTGTTTCAGCATGGCTTGCTTGTGAGACGAACCTCGCTGTCTACTGTACTCTGTGCATTATGCTATACGATTACTATTGCTGTTACTATCCCTAGCTGCACTCGGCTGATGTCGGCTGGATAATATGGAATCGTATAGCGCAGCGACGCGAAGCATAAGAGAGCATAGCATAATATGACATAGTATAGTCTAGCAACTAGTACAAGCAAATACAGCACAGCATACAAAACATTGGTACAGATACAGATACAGTATGACCCTCAACCCTAAACCCTCCCTAAGCCCCTAAACCCCAAACCCTGAACCCCTAAACTAAAAACCCTAAACCCTGAACCCTAAAAACCCTAAAAACCCTAAACCTAAAAAAACCCTAAAAACCCCTAAAAACCCTAAATCCCCTAAACACCCCTAAAACCCATAAAAACCCTAAAAGCCCCTAAAAAACACTAAAAACCCCCTAAAAAGCCGTAAAACACCCCTAAAAACCCTTCCGCATGCCACTCGCAGGGCCTCGGGAGCAGACGCCAGCTCCTCGAGCGTCAGCTCACCGGATCCGTCCTCGTCAAACTCCTCAAAGAGCCGCTTCCTCAATGCGGGGGTTTGGGGATTTAGGGGTTTATAGGGGTTT